CCCAACCACCCAACTCCTACCGGACCCCACACCGGACCGGGACTGCTGGCGCCAAATCGCCGGAGCAGCCCTTTCAACGCTCCCGGAAGCGCGCGGCATCCTGACCGGAAATGAACAGCGTCCGCTGCTCACCCCCGAGCCCGCCGCAACGCGCGCTGACATTTTATGCGTTACACTGTAAATAAAACAGTACACCACTTACCGGCGTCAGACACATGAACGCATCGTACCAAAATTACTAAAATTCACAATACCGTAGACAATTTTGTCTCAACTCAATCTCTCTGGAGAAAAGGGTGCGACTTTTCAAAACCAAAAATATCGACGTGTCATTATTTACGTTGTGATGAAAATGGTGTTTCCCCTCGCGTGAGCCGCGCCTGGATGAGATATCGAGAGACAACAAGTTAATAGAGCATTACCGCTGCGGCCGGGAGCCCGGCGCGGCGCGGGGCCGGGCGGCCACCTGAGAGAGGCGGTCGGAGGCGCCGCGGAGCTAATCTCATTGCAGCGAACACCTGTAATCATGATGATTTATCTGGCCCGGAGTGGCGGGGCGGGGCGGGGCGGGTGCGTATCTTGCCGCGGCGGCGTCCCCACGCAACAAGTTTGCCGGTACGGCTGCGAGGCCCCCCCTGCTGCTGCTGCCGCCCGGGTTGCGAATGAAATGGGACTCATTACTGTGTAATACACCGCCCGCCACGCCCCGCCACGCCACGCCACGCCACCGCATAACGGCGGCCCAGGGGGTGTTATTGCGTTATGCCCCAACTCGACTAGCCCATTGGGCTAATACCCCGCCGTTTGTCGCTGCCAAATGAGCGCCACTACGAAGATTTGTTTGCCGGCGCGCGCGACTGCTCCGCGGGGGCCGCCCGGCCGAGGGTCACCCGAGGGGCCTTTGGACCCAGCCGTCTTCCTCCCCTTCTTCTATCCGCCCTGCGCGTCCACCCCATCCTCGGCCTCATCGCGACCTCGTTCTCATAGTCCTCCTTCTCACCTCCCTCCTTGACGTGTCCTCGTACTCTTAAACCCTCATCCTCTTCGTCGTCCTCGTCCTCCTGAACCCTCGTCCTCCTCCTCGTATTCATCGTCATCCTCCTCGTCGTCCCTTACCTAACTCTTTTCCTCCTCTTCGTGCTTATCGTCGTTCTCCTCGATCTCCCTAGTCTAACGCTTGTCCTCCTCGACCTCCGCGGCCTGCCCGCTCGCCAACTCGTTGCCGTTCTCCGTGACCAGAGTCCGTCGTGTTGCAGGGCGACCTCTTCTCCGGCCTCAACGACGGGCTGCTGTCGCGAGCCGAGGCGCTGGACATCAGCAAGCACCAGGGGCAGCCAATCAAGCACGACATGATGTACCACCACGCCATGCCGCCCCACAACCCGAGGACGCACCAGGTCAGTTATGACGTAAGGTTTGAAAATTAACAATCTATTTTGTAGAAAAATTGCGCTCTCTGAAAAATGTAAACGAATTAAAGCCCCGGCCGTGCCACTCCTAGGGATTTTAATTTTCCAGAAAAGTAATTTTTTGGGGGAAAATCAGATTTTTTGTGTCTAAAGTTTCTCCAGAGTTTCTCTTTTTTTTAGCCATTTCCCAGAAATATTTACACTTTTTCTAATTTTTTTCTGGAATGGTTTTAAAATTTTTCCGGAAAAAATGTCGGGCTTTTAAAATCCCTAGTCACACCTCGGCCTGCCGCGGGGGTGCGGGACACCAGCACCCCTCCTTTCATCGGCGGGGTGGGCGGCGCGTGGGAATGCTGCTCGCCGGCACAACTTTACGAGCAGAGGGGCCGTGGTGGCCGTGCATACGGTCCCGCCCGTGCGCCGCGCTGCTCGTGTCCTGCGGCCGTGCGGCGGCGCCGCCGTACGCTCCCTCTGCTCCGCGGGCAGAGTCTTGCTCGGGCATGCCTCCTCCCGGGGGGGCACTTCGGGCCGGCGCAGCCCTCCAGCCACCGCCAGAGCGTCCCGACCGGGCCCGCCGCGCCGGGGGCCGAGGAAGGGCCGTGAAAAATACGGGACGAGCCAGGAGTGAAGAGTAGTAGCAAGGAGCCCGTGTACATAGGGTTGAGAGAGGGGCAGAGGGGGTGCAGCTCAAGCTACCGGGGTTCCGGGCAGCGCTGTCCAGGGGAAAGGGGGAAGCAGAAAGCAGAGCGGGAGGGAAGACCGACAAAGGCGAGGCTGAAACGGTTTCGCATTACGTCGTTGCGCAACCCCAAACAGCCCTTTCTTAAGAAGATAAGTCCCGATGAGAGGCGCGGGGCGTGCCGAGGACGGGGTAATTGTTAATCAAAATAATTGTGTTTCTCTCGTGTCGCGCAATTATTGTGTGTGTGGGCGACAGACGGGAGAGCCGGCGGCACCCTCACACTGCGGCCGGTCGTTTTCCCCCTCCCTCCCTCCCTCCCTCCCTCCCTCAGCCTGTCTGTCTTGTACGTATGTCTGTCTCTCTCCTTGTCCCTCCCTCCTCGTATATCTGAACCCTTTCCTCTGCTCTGCACTTGTCTCTTAGCTCTCTCTGTCTTTCTGCGTCGCACCCTCTCCTATCCGCCCCCACCCCCACCCCCGCCCCCGCAACTCACACCACCCCCTGCCGTGACGTTAGCGTTCTGACGATGACGCCCACATAACAAATGACAGCTGTGCCGTTGTGGTCGTTGTCGTGCGGTACGGTACGGTTGCGCTTTAGGGCTGGTTTGTCCACACCGCTCGAGACAACAACTCGGGAACGACCTCCTGGCAATGACTATTATTGCCTCGAAATCCCGCCTCGCTTGTGGGATCTCACCAAACGAGTGCATTGTTAGTTAATTATGTTTTCCATCATATTCGGCAACAAACCGTGTGTGCCCACATTGACGGGAAAACTCATCGCCAGCGCAGCAAATGAGGAAACCTTTACATCAAAGAGTTATAAAGCGTAGTGATCGTAATGATAAACAAAACAAACAGACGTGCAAGAGCCGTGGCTCGTCGCATTCTCACTGGCTGGCCCTCCCCTTTGGCCTGACACTTGTTTTCCCCGCGGACACGGCGCTGCCGCATGGCTCGCCGGCCCTCCTCGGCAGTGCGAGCGGTGCGGGCGCGCTAGGGGGTTGTTGGGCTGGGAGTCGATGCCGTGACGGTTCTCAGGCAGATCATATTTCAATTCGACTCGGTTCCATATACCATGATTCTACAACGTTGGCGGTCGGTCCAACAGGTCCTGCCGCGCCTTGCCCCGCCCCGCCACGCCCCGCTCGTTCCAAACAAATGAAGCAAAGTGCGCATCGCGTGGCGGAGAGTGCAAGTATTATTGCCCAAGTTTCCGAATGGCCTCGCCATCCCCCGGCCCCGGCCCTGCTCCGCCTAACGCCGCGTAAATTGATTACATTGCGAAAGCTGCCGCCTAACGCGTCGCAGTCGCGCTCATTTCAATGACAGTTGACAATTTTATCCGATGAAGCGATTGATTGAAAAAAATATAACAATAAGTTTCTGTTTCCTTCAGGCGCACTAGGTTAGTGAGACTTTTTTTTCAAGCGGAGCAAATGGTTCTAGTGCGTTCTATAGGGGGTGCACGAAGAGGCACCTCTGCACCCAGAAGAATTATTTCTTGTTTTAAGTACTTTTGTACGAAAAGCACTGAAAGTGACCCAAGATTGTTTTTATTTTTCGTGATACGAAGACGATTTTTACCATGAAGTAAGAACATGTTTTCAACCGAAAGGTAATATCACCTTGCGTCAAGAGTAAAAATGATTATTGTACTTGAAATAAGCAAACATTTTCCTAAATGAGTGAAGGTGCATAGAATGTCCTATTTTTTTTTCTTTCCCACTGTATGGCTAGTAATAAACCCCGTCATATTTCGACGTTTTATTTAAAGTGTTCTACTCGGAAGGTGGAGTTATTTGCGATCGGGGTTGTTTGAAGTAGCGTACCAGGGTGCATTTGGTGCAAAACCCGATCAGGCTTTCCAGCTTCCTGGTACGCTACTTCAAACAACCCCGATCGCAAATAACTCGACCTTCCGAGTAGTACTCTCTTGCGCGTTGTTTGACTATGAGGTCCCCCACGCCAGCTCCTGTTCTATCCTCCCCGACGCAACGTCTATCCGCGCGCCAAACCCCATTCTATCCCCGTACTGCCCGTGCCCCAGAGGGGCCTAGCCCCTAGCAGGGGAGCGTCAACAGCTGGTGTAGGGGGAGCCCACCCCACCCCGCTCCGCACCGCCCCGCCCCAGCCCGCCTGGCTGTCAATTGCCTCATTACATGGACAGATTCCCCAGGAGGCGACCCCACGAACCAGGCTGCGCTCCACGAGGGAGGCCCGGTGTGGCGTGGTGTAGCGGGGAGGGTGGAG